CTTTCACCGGTCAGCACAACGTCATCTGCTTAGGGCATGCAGTATAGGGCTGCTTCTTGCAGATCTTTAGTTATTACGTCTGTCGACCACAAAACAGAAATGGACTCAGTACCGAACTTTGACTGATCCCTACCGCAGAGGGCATTCTTTCGCTTCACCGTATGCGCTTCGAACTGTCGTTGAACCTCTGTCTTAAATGCCTTTAGCAATCCAGTAATATTTTTGGCACCAGCTTAGTTCTCATGCTTCCTCACATTGTCTGTTTTGGAATTCAATTTAAGGCTTTCTCCAGGGATCAACGAGTGATTGTCTTTTCTGCCTTGTCTATGTGTTTCAAAGACTGATCTTAAAACCAACGTGGCGTCTATGGTTGGCCGCCTGGAATAAATGCGTCATCGGTTCGCGGTGATATCCATTTACCTCCTCTCCTCAGTCTTTTGTCCGTCACCCTTTTGTGCAGGTCCATTGTATCGCTGAGCAGTTCAATTCCCTGATAGTTTTCACAGGCGATCACGAGCTCTTTCATTGTACTTTGCCATCAAATTGCTCTTCTTCCAGGATTCCGGCTTATTTTAACATTTCATAATTTTATTAAATAGTGTACAGAGCGAAAGCAAGGTTTCTTCCCCCCTACCCCCCACAATGCCACTTATTCTTTTAAGGGAACTCCGTTTGGGTCAACGGCATTGCAATTTTTATTCAATCCACAGCTATTCGTATCACCTTTTCGACCAGTACCTGATTTCGGTGGGAATTTCGAACTCTAATCCATTCAACTGAAAGGGCCAAGTTGGATACTGCTCACTTATTATTTCATTTTTAAGGTTACATCTTAATATGATTAAGTCACCCTTCAAGGGCGCCAGGTTGCGTTGCAGATATCTTTCAATTTCTGGCATGAACAAATAACGCAGCATATTGGCCTCATTATTCCCCAACCACCCATTTGCTATCTTTAGTGCCATCGATTGCATCGAATCAGAGAGGGTAAATTTATTCCACAATGCAGTTAATACAAAAATATACGACCCGCAATGGTTCAAACAACCACGTTTAACGTAAAAACCACATGACTTTCTTTTATTCTATGACACTGCTTATATAGCAGTAAAGTATATATAGTAAATCTATTTCTTTCTCATGTAATTCCGCTTAATTGAATGAATTTTATCAAAGTTGAAATTATTAACTCATTCCAGATGAACTGAAAAAGACGTCTCTGCAAGCATTTTTAACTATTTTGCTAATACCGTGTTCTAGATGAGGATTAATATTGGTTTCGTTTCTACTGTACAGCTCATTTGTTTTCAAAATCACTTGAAAATGATTCTCATCATGTGCTAATTAATCTCTTTAGTTTAATTGTTTAAAAGTAAAACTGGCTTTGCTGCATATCTTCAAAACTTTATAGATGAGCTGGTGACAGAAAATGTCGACACCTATTTGTAGGATATTCAGCCTTTGTCTCAGCGCATTCCACAGCCTTTCAAGTTAGCCCCAGAGATGTACGGTTTAAGAAAAATGCAGATTTCGGCCATTTTCCTTCTCGTCTCGGTTGCGCTCTGTTCTCACTACGAAGACCGATACCAAGAGATGCTCGGCCATCTGATGAAGAACAGGAACATTTTCCTGAAATGGGAGGTATGGCAAACAAAGCTTTTGGAAGTTCCCCTCTGATACTTTCTTAAGCATGGAATCAACAAGCGGTTTCAAAAGTTTTCACGCGAAATTTTGGACATGTTTTATGGAAGCAGGCGTGACTATTTTCAACAGCCGTTGCTGCCTACGCCAGATGATTTCAGCGAAGAGATCGAAATGCCAGAATTTTTCGATGCACGTAAAAAGTGGTCCGTATGCAAATGGATGGGATTCATTAGAGACCAGTCCAACTGTGGCTCATGTTGGGTAGATAGATGTAATGATTTTAAATTTTTAATTATTTTATTTTGCAGGCAGTATCTTCCGCTGCGGTCATGTCAGATCGTCACTGTGTTTTTTCTGATGGAAAGTTTCAGCCTTACATCTCGGATGAGAATATTCTTTCATGCTGTCATACCTGCGGTCGGGGGTATATACTATTTTCTGTTCATTCGTAGTAAAGTGCTCATTCGAAGCATCGTCTAGGACAACTGATAAAACTACTGTTGGACATTTATGTAAATTGGCTAAGTAATCAATATCCTTGGGTTAATAAAATAATTAAATAAAGCTCTTCTTTGCTTTCTAACGTTCACATCGAATTAATTAAGAATAATTCCATAAATGCTTAACAGATGATAGCAGCAGATATCATCTTCTGCTCTGAGAACCATGATACAGAGTAAAAGATTGGTCGCTGTTGTTAAACCAGATTTCTGGAATGTCGGTCATCCATTGAATGAAGTAGAAATTTTCCTCAGTTTACTGATACAATCCATCAAGCATAGTTTCATTATACATTCTGCTCCTCATGCCCCTGGGTTGCTATTCTTTGTTCAGAGGCTAAATGGTTCAGCGAGAAATGACTACCGCCCTTTCTTAGGGAATTGATCAGTACAAGTGGGCTCCAACTTTCTCAACGGGTTTGTGGTCCTACTTATTAACAGAACGTCCTGAGTAGATCATTACAGAACGTTTGCCAGAGCGTTCTTTCGCGTGACTAACCTGCAATATACTTGGTAGTCGAATACTGTATCATCTGAAAACGTCTAAGAACGACGTCGTTAGGCGTGTCTAAAGCAGAATCGTCATCTTACGCAGCCCTGTAGGTGATTTCTATCTTGAGAAGCGCTGCTGCTAGTGTTTAATGTTTTACTGTAACCGTATCTAGGAGTCATACAATTTTTGAAGCACAGCTACACAAAGACACAAATCTGAAACAGTGACAGCCGGATTTCCAGACCATGAGCCTTTAAGCAGCCCGAAGGTTGCTAATCCTTTTTACACATAACCCATTAGGCATTACACAATTTCCATCCGATTTCTGAGGATTAATCTTGACGGTGATCGCAATCTTCCGTTCAAATTTGTAGCCATGGGGCCATTCTAATACATAGAACTGCCTCAGAAGGCATAAGGCAGTTCCTCTGTTTAGTTAACTGATTAACTTCGGTTGTCATCCAGTGCTGACGACGAGGATGGCTAGATTTGAGCATGAGAATCTAATGGACAGTATGGCAAATGAAAACAGAACTAACTACCTCTAGATCCCATAACAGTCAGAACGCACAGCAATTTATTATAAAATATCTATCCAAACCGAAATTTTTTCCTACCTAGCAAATGGTCTCTCGGAAGTGTGAAATCCTGCTCCATCAAAGGAAAGGTGCAATACGTAGAGATGGTTGAAACGGGGCATTACAAGCCATTGCGTACTCTTCCGTTTGTCAGTAGCTTTGAGGTATAAAGCCCACGTTCAGCATTAATATTACGTTAGCACTGGGAGCATGCACTAAGACGAAAATCTTCCACGTCAAGCAAAAGAGCAGGTCCAAGATAGGAGCATTTTGGGTCTTCCAATGATGCTTTTGCCATTTTTACTCTTTTATTGATTTTTGGAAATTAGTTCTGCATTGCAGGGATACGTAGTCCAAGACGCACATGTTTTTTACCTCTTCAGGCATTAGTCTGTGCACTTCAACAGGTTTTTTTGGCCACGTAGTTGTTGAACATGACATGATACTTTCCAGGTTTATTTTCAAACTAGCTCTGAAACTGGAGTCTTTTAACTCTTGGACTATTTCGTGGAATTTTTTGTGGCTTTTTAGGATTTAGGATATCGTCGGAAAACTGCAGATTGTTTAAAAGGTCTCCTGAAAAGTTTTTGCAAGACGCTGTGAATAACTTCGCCAATATTGCATCGCTATATTGGACTCCTTCTTCGATCCTGAATTTGTTGTTCGTCATGCTTTGTATTATCCATTGTAAAAATAGCGATGATGTCTTTGTATCTTTTCTCGATTGCCTGGATCTTCAAGGCATCCAGTGCTGACGTGTCAGGACCATAATGCTTCAATTAGCCATGTCCGTTGGAAAGCACACGCAGTCATAATTTTAGATATGACCTACTGAATCCGCGAAAGAGATACTCTTAATTGAGTGCAAGTCTGCTTCGAGTAGGTCTTTCCAAATTCGATTTTGGCCGCCGGAGTGGTGGTGTTTATGGATTGGGTGTCACAGAAGGATTCGTAGAGTGACTTGAGAGTGTCTTGAGTTCCGGTTTGGTTTAAAGACAATTCTTCATTGAGACCGCTAACGCTTTGTCTCATCATTTTCTAGACGAAAAAATGAAGAGCAGTGGCTAAATCGCGCCACCGTGGCTCGTGCCATCTGATTTCAAACCAGCTAGATTGTTCGTCCTCCGTCCGTTTGCAGAAGTCATATAGTGTCATGGTGGTGTTCACAAACACGATCCTGGGGTTATTTGAAATCCCGCAGAATCTTCCTATCGTTGGATGATGTATGACACGTCAAACGCAAATTTTGAAGTCGATGAAAGATGCATACCATAGGAGATATTGTCTCTGTCACTGTCATAGAATATTGGGGAATGATAGAATATAGTCACTGATGGAGTAACTTATTCTAAATCAAACCTGATCTTTTTTCAGCTTTTTCATTGCATACTTCAGGCGTTCTTGAATAATGCGTGAGAAGACTCTGCAAGTCGTAGATTGCAAGGTTGTTCATTTATAACTTGCGCAGTATGACTGGCTTCCTCCGCTTTTTTCACTACTTTGGTCTCAGCCAAATACGTTATACCACTGCATTTCGAAATGACTTGAAACAGCAGAAGGTTCTTCATCATTTCCATGTAAAGTACCTGGTTTTCTCTGCACAAACATTTCCTCTTTTTTTAAGTTGAGCCCTGGAATATTGTGCATCGGATGAGTCCATGGTCGTTTCCTGCATCGGAACTGTTCAACACCGTGCTGTACTGCATTTTTTTCAACGAGCATAGCTGCAGGCCATCTGGCGCGAACCGAGGTTATGAACAGAGGAACGATCATCGGATACGGAGGTCAGGTGTGACGTACATATAGTGGTGGACATTATCAGGGCATGGCTGAAGAAATGTCCGGAAAACTCGTCACCTATGGTCACATAGAACAATATGACGGCTCAATGACAAGAGGAGAATGACCCACTGGTGATAAGGTCACCAATCACATCTTCCTTGGGATTAGTCTCAGGTATATCAAAATCTAGAACAGACAACTTCGATAATAAACCAGCCGTCAGTTGCAGACCCGTCTGTGTGAACGTACCTAACGATACTCTATGAAACTCAGTCCTCACGCTGACCTCACGTAACTATGCCCTTTGTGATAACCGAAGCACACCGGAAAGAAAGTCCTGTGAACCGCAAGAATACTACAGAAATTGAAACCACTTACATGCCGATCAATCACCTCGATCGTTTCTTGGAAGGTGTATGCGTTACTCGACCCTACGCTCATTCCTCACAGTATACACCGTGTTATGTAACGAAATTATTGGCAGCTTCTTAAAAGTTTGCATCCCTCACGCTGGGTCAAGATCGGAGGTTGCTCCCGTGTCTGAACAGCAATACTCGAGGTACCACAGTGGATCCATGGATAATTGAAGAAGATACGGTGTGGTAACGCGAATGCTGTTCCTCCATCGTAGATGTCAGTCAATTCGACTCTCTTGCCTCTGTGCGCTTGCGGGGATCTGTTTTTGACCAATCTATCGCTGTCGTCTAGGCGCATACACTGGAATCAGGCGTTGATGTGAAAGACGAATTTTATGATGGTGCAAAAACTCTGATGGACGAAGTTCGAAACGTTATTTGGT